GGTGCCAGGCATTGTAGTTGCTGGCAGTGTAGTGCTGAATAACATGGACACAGTATCCACCTTTATTTCACCAGAAATCATTAAATAAGTCTGAAGTGCTGTAAGAAAAACAAGCAGGATGATGGGCTAGAAAGTAATCAGAGAGGCCACTTCGTATGTGGGCCTAGGACTCCAGCTTTTCTGAAAAGTGATGGCTGAGCCCAGGCATGAGAGATGAAAATGAGCAAGCTAAGGGCAGCTCCATACCAGTGATTTTCACTGATCTCATGGCACATTGGAACCTACAGTTTATGTTGATCAAAAAAAAAAAAAAAAAGAATATACTTCCTGTGTTTGAGCTTTGTCTGAAAATAATGTAATTGACAATGTCTAATTAAACACACCTAGGAGCCTCTCAGGGCACACACGTGTGTTGCGGCATACGGGTTGAAAGTCCCTGATCTAGACTGAGGACAAAGAGGAACCACACAGATCCAACAAGTGGTATTTAGGACCAGATAGAAAACTGCTGTGTGCTGAGGTAGGGTGGGGTAGTATTAAAGGAAGTTTGAGCGTTATTATAGTCTGTTATTATAGGTCATAGTCTTTTAAAAAAGGGCAACATTTAAAAAACGTCACTCTGACTATGGAGAATGGGTTGAGAAGGGGAAAATAAATAGCGTAAATAAGGAGATCAGGGGGCTCTTACAGTTATCTTGGCAAGCAAGATTGTGGTTGGGTCATGATAGCGGTGAAAACTGAGAGAAGTAAATGGATTTGAGATACGTTTTCATGTATAAAATGTAATGGTATAGATAAAGTATTTAGTACTTGCTATACGTTAGATACTATAATTATTGTTTGTGCTTTTTCTAAGCAAAGATCAAAAAGGAGATTAGGGAAGGCAGGAGAGATATATGCCAACCAAGATGCAGTCCAGAAAGTTGTTAGCACCTCCTATAATTTCCTGGCGCAAAAAAAAAAAAGGAATCCCTTTCTCTTACTCTGTTCTTTTCTGGAGAAAAATAGTAGTCCTCTAGACTTAACTAGTCTTCTAGATAATTTGAGATAATAGACCTTCCTGCAGTTTTGGTTAGCCAGAAGGATTAAAATAAACTAGAAATAGTTGATGTGTTATTAGACTATATTAAAAATTGTGGTGATGATGTTAATAAGACCTTAATGAAGTTCCAGATAATTTAGCAATGGATATATTTTTAATTTCTGTTTTTATAGGTGTGTGTTCATTCAGTAGAGACAGGGTCTCACTCTGTCACCCAGGCTGGAGAGCAGTGGCATAGTCATAGCTCACTGCACCTTGAACTCCTGAGTTTAAGGGATCTTCCCACCTTGGCCTTCCAAAGTACTGGAATTATAGGCACGAGCCACTTTGCCTGGCCTTGTAGGCATTTTTTAGTACAGAAAAGTATAAGGTATAAAGTTTTATATATGTGTGTGTATATATATGTATACAAAATAATGAATAATCCAGGTATTTCACCAGTCACATTTTTATTCATTTTTATTTTTAATTTTTATTTTTTTTAGAGACAGTCTCACTTTGTTGCTGTAGGTAGAGCGTCACAGCTCACAGCAACCTCTGGCTCTCGGGCTTAGGCGATTCTCTTGCCTCAGCCTCCCAAGTAGCTGGGACTACAGGTGCCTGCCAGAATACCCAGCTGTTTTTTGTTGCAGTTTGGCCGGGGCTGGGTGTGAACCCCCCACCCTCGGTATATGGGGCCAGCGCCCTACTCACTGAGCCACAGGCGCCACCCACCAGTCACATTTTTAATAGTTAAAATCATACTATAGTGGTCTTCTGCTTTTTAATAATGCAGTATTATGAGTGTTTTTCCTTGTTATTAAGAGTTTTTAGTGAATACCTAATAAAAATATAGGGAGGATCTGCCATAACTTAATCATTCTTCTATTGGGGAACCTTTAAGTTATTTCTGGTTTCCCCTGTGGTAAATAACACCATGAAGAATCATTGTCTTTGCATTCTACATTGTGTATTTCAAATTCATACTTAGTAACTGCTTTAAGTAATAAAAACAATTACTTGGTTTTTTCAAGGTCAGGGAATTAAGTTGGAAAATTCATCCTAGAAAAAGTACTATATACTTCATTGCTGAATATCACTGCATTCACCTTTGAAGAACATCCCTGGGCCATCTGGTGACCAAAGTAATACTCAGCAATAAGATTTGCAGCACTTTTCCTAGGATGAGTTTGTGAACTTAATTCATATGATGACGTGATGCAGCTCTAATGGCTGTTCCAGAAAGAGAGTTCCAAAATGGTTTTGTGTGTAGCTTCCCAGGAGGAGGTCGTCGTCCTCATGAAAAGAACCTGAATGTGGGTGGAGCCTTTACATCCATTGATTCATGGAACATATAGGAACATATATCATGGGAGTTCATTCAGCAAAATTCATACTAGGAAACTACCCGAACAAAAATCAAGGGCAAACAACATAGTTTTGTCAACACAAAAATTGCAGTTAAAAAAAAAAAAGACATTTTGTAGCTTAAACGAGACTTAAAAAGCATGTGAATCAGTAATAGTATGAGGACTTTTTTTTGGAGCTCTTCACATAGAAACTGGAAAAATAACATTGTAATAACTAAAAATTTGAATTGAGCATATTTGATGATATTAAGGAAATTTTTTTACTTCTAGTCATGTGGTTGTATTAAAGAAAGTTCTTTTTTTTAGTTTTATTTTTTTTTTGTAGAGACAGAATCTCACTTTATTGTCCTCAGTAGAGTGCTGTGGTGTCATAGCTCACAGCATCCTCCAGCTCGTGGGCTTAGGGGAGTCTCTTGCCTCAGCCTCCCGAGTAGCTGGCCTGCCACAAGGCCTGGCTACAAGAAAGTTCTTATGTACTAGAAATACATCGTAAAATTTTTATGAATGAAATTACATCTGAGATTTGCTTCAAATTAATATGAGGGTGGGAGATAGTGGTATAGGTACAGATAAGACAAGATTGACCATCAAGTAGTAATTATTAAAAGCAGGCAATGAATATGGGAAAGTTTATCGTACTGTTTTTTCTACCTTTGCTTATGTTTGATATTTTCTGTAACAAAATATTTTAAAAACTAAAGGAAACGTTGAAAAAGAATCTGTCATCAAGTCATGGAAATAAATCATCTTCTGAGGAAGGACTTTTAGACTGTGAAGTACGCCCTCTTCAGTATGTGGGGGAAAAGCGTTAATGACATGTCCTTTTTAGGTAATAATTACAAAAGACACTTTGAATAGGGCTGACAAGTCAGAACACCAGTAGCTGTAGTGAAGAAGATGGTTTTCTCGAGTGTGAGTTTCTTAGGAGAATCTGCTTTAACCCTTGCTTCACTAATTAATTTTACTAATAGGCTTCATATTTTAATGTGCAAAAATCTTTATTATTTTACTTGGTTTATTAGCCTTTAAGAAATAGGCAAAAATGATCCAAACTGTACTATAAATTATGTTATGTATAATAATATATCATGACATATATATAATACTAATATACTAAAGTACTAATACATATAGTATTTTGCCAAGTAAATGAAAGAGTAAGTTGACATCAGGATGTTTTTTAAGAAAAGTTGCAGGCTCAGCGCCTATGGCTCAAGTGGCTGAGGCACCAGCCACGTACACCTGAGCTGGTAGTTTCAAATCCAGCCCGGACCTGCCAAACAACAATGATGGCTGCAACCCAAAAATAGCCGGGTGTTGTGGCAGGTGCCTGTAGTCCCAGCTACTTGGGAGGCAGAGGCAGGAGAATCGCTTGAGCCCAGGGAGATTGCTATGAGCTGTGATGCCACAGCACTCTACCCAGGGCGACAGCTTAAGGCTCTGTCTCAAGAAAAAAAAGAAAAGAAAAGAAAAGTTGCAAGCATGAAACTTCAGTGAATACATAACGTTCCCTCTTGTTCCTCAGGCTCTTCAATTTATCTTCCAATGTTCACAGTAACTTACACTCCCGCTGGATTCTCAGAGCCATTAAGAGTTTTGCCTTATTTCAGAATGCATATATCTTTATATGCATGTGCACAACTTTTTTGGAAGATTATTACTAAGCAGTTGGAAAAAATTCCTCTTAAATACTCAGCCCCTTCATTCTTGCAAAAACTTGACTAGGCGTAGGGTGATGCCTATGGCTCAAAGGAGTGGGGCTGATGGAGGTTGTGGGTTCAAACCCAGCCTCAGCCCAAAACTGAAAAAAAAAATTGACTATATATAATGATATAATTTTATTGTTTCACTTAAAACTTTAGAAAATACATTATTAAATCTAGATAGGATTTTCAAGTTCTCAGAAAGGGGAATTCTCAGTACTCAATAGCATAAAATAAAAGAGAAAGAGGGTCACAGGAGAGGAGAGACAGACATGCTTTTCTACCACTTGGGTCGGTGCAGTTGTGGAATGTATTTTCCTTCTGTGCGTGAACCCTCCAAAGCCCACAGGAACCCACAGGCAGCAGCTGAAGTGCTTTGTAATTAGTCTTCTATTCTTCCCGCAGTTAAAATTCCTATATATTGGGGCATCTCACCAAATGTTGATCTAATTATCTGATTTAAAAAATCAGTGGTAGTATGAATGACTGATTAATGTAATTTACTTATTGATTTCGAAATAAAAGAGGAATAGAACTCCAGCTACTGGAAGGAGGATACCAAATAATTTTGAATAGGAAGGCCTTCCAACCTTCCTTCCCAGAGTCCTCTATTCTGAAATGTAATATACCATTTTTTTATTGCCAGCAATCAACAAACTAAAGTATATCTGTTATGTGTTAGATGTCTTTCAGAATAGCTGAGTAACATTAATGTTTCATTTGACTTTTTATATTATTAAAAGCTTTCATAGAAATAAATTCACAAATTGGAGAAAATAGGAATATTGTCCTTATTCTTTCTTTACTAAAGGCAGTTCCTGTATATCTAGGGGTGAGTAAAACATGGCCAGTGGAGAGGGTGGCAATTGTGCATTAGTTTAAAATTAAAATTTTTTTTTCTTTCAGGATGGCAGAATTTGGTGACATTTGGAAGCTTTTCAAACATGGTTTCATGTAGTCCTTCATATGTTTGTATACTCAGTCAAGTAAAGTCGTATTCCACGAATATTCAGAAAGAAGGACAAGGATCACAGTCTCTCAGAGTGGAAAAAGTATCATCTCTTGATGAAACAGGTATGTATACATTTTTTTAAAGCATTTTTTCTGTACACTGTATAAAATTATTTATTTGGATGTTTTATAGAAATTTGTAAAACTTTCTGGTTTTTTGGTTTTGGGGTTTGTTGGCGTTTTTTTTTTTGAGACAGAGTCTTACTGTGTCACCCTCAGTAGAGTGCTGTGGCGTCACAGCTCACAGCAACCTCAGACTCTTGGGCTTTGAGTCCCAGGTAGCTAGGACTACAGGCACCCGCCACAATGCCCAGCTATTCTTTTTGTTGCAGTGGTTGTTGTTTTAGCAGGCCTGGGCTGGGTTCGAACCCACCAGCCCTGGTGTATGTGGCCAGCGCCCTACCCACTGGGCTACTGGCACCGCCCCTGTAAAACTTTCTGAACTGATGTTTTCCTTGTGGGCAGCAGCTACTAAACTGCTGATTTAGTTTCTTTAATTGTACTGTTTCTTTTGACTGAGCTTTGGCAAGTTCTATTTTTTTTTCTAGAAATTTATTCACTTAAAATGTATTTAAATTTATTGGCATGAAATTAATATATTCTCTGTCTGCTCTGTCAGTAGTATATGTAGTTGATTTTTTTCCACATTCCTAATGATATTTGTCTCACTGTCTTGCTTGATCTTGTCAGAGATTAGTCTTTTATGTTTTTTCCAAGGTTTTTTTTTTTTTTTTTTACTTTGAACCATTATATTGTATGTTTGTTTCCTAATAGTGTTTTTAAATCTGTGGATCTACCTGAATCTTTTGATATCTTTTTTTTTTCCCTACTCTTTATTCATGATTTTTATCCTTTGATCTTCCACAAAGTATTGGAGAAATTATTCATCCTCCAAGCCTCAGGTCCATGGTCCCTCTCCCCCCGCCGTCTCCCCTCTTCCTTTCTCTTGGCAGCTCTTTCTGTGGCCTCTTGGTACAGTAGCTCCCCTGTCCACAGGAGTTAAGTTCCAAGAGACTTTGTGGATGTCTAAAACTGGAGATAGTACTGAGCCCTGGTTATGTCTTGCCCTGTAGTACCAGAGTTGATCTGTCCTGCACATTTTATGCCCTGGCACCTCCTTTGCACTTTAATCTTGTGATATCATCACAGTTAACATGGATTTGTATTCCATACCATTTACTGTATACTGTAAATTGTATACCTACTCTGTCTCTGAAGGTAGAGTGCAGTGGTGTCCTCATAGCTCACTGTAAACCTCAACTCCTAGGCTCAAGTGATCCTTTGCCTTAGCCCTGAGTAGCTGGGACTATAGGCATACACCACATGCCTGGTTAATTTTTCCAATTTTAGTAGAGACATGATCTTGCTTTTGCTGAGGCTGGTCTCAAACTCCTGAGCTTAAGCAATCCTTCTGCCTCAGCCTCCCATAGTGATAGGATTACACACGTGAGCCACTGTGCCTGGCCACAATAATTTCTACTCTGATTGTAGCTTCCTTTTTGCTGTTATTGGTGTTTGTTCTGTCATTCTTTTATTAACTGTCAATTAGATACTTTGCTCATTGATATTGAGCCTCCTTTCCTTTTTGAAATAGGCATTTGAGTCATAACACATCCCATAAGTTTAAAAAAAATTTTTTAAATCCCAAAACATTTATTTCCATAGATTTTTGAACATATCTCACAAGTTTTGATATGTAGCATTTTTATTTGTAGTTCTGAATATATTTTTATTTCCATTGTGATTCTTTGATTTTTGTTGTTGTTGTTGTTGTTAAGGTGTGATTTTAAATTTACAGATGGATGGAATTTTTCTAATTATCTTTTTGTGTTAAACATAATTGTATTTTATAGGATGTGGTCTGTGTAATTCAGTCTTAAAATTTGAGTGCAACTTTTTTGGTTTTTTGCTTAGTCAGTTTTTCTAAGTGACTCTTATGTGCTTGAAAATAACATGTATTTTTAATACCTGTAAATTCTGATTTTTAGTTTTGCTGTACAGGTCTGTATCCTGTTTTTTAAATTATTACCAAGAGAGATGTTAGAGTATCACACTCTGATGGTAGATTTGATGATCTTTGTTTGGTTTTTTTTTTTGCAGTTTGGCCGGTTCCAGGTTTGAACCTACCACCTCTGGTATATGGGGCCAGTGCCCTACTCCTTGAGCCATAGGCGCTGCCTGATTTTAATGGTCTTGATCAGGCAGCCTCAAACTATGGACTGTGGGCCACATGTGGCCGGGGGCCCGCAGTCCAGCCTTCCAACGGTCTGAGGGACCGTGAACTGGCCCCCTGTTTAAAAAGTTTGAGGACCCCTGCTCTGTTTTTTTTTTTGAGACAGAGCCTCAAGCTGTCCCCCTGGGTAGAGTGCTGTGACATCACAGCTCACAGCAACCTCTAACTCCTGGGCTGAAGCAAGTCTCCTGCCTCAGCCTCCCAAGTAGCTGGGACCACAGGTGCCCGCCACAACGCCCGGCTATTTTTTTGGTTGCAGCCGTCATTGTTGTTTTGGTGGGCCCAGGCTGGATTCGAACCCGCCACCTTAGGTGTATAGGGCTGGCGCCTTAGCCACTTGAGCCACAGGTGCCAAGCCGGACCTCTGGTCTTGACAGTCATAGAGGTCTGTAAATTTTTCCTTTTTATATTTTGAGGCTTTATCATCAGATACATATGACACTGATGAATTCTCTCTTTTGTCATTATATAGCAACTCTTTCTCTCGTGACATCTCCAACAGGTTATTGTTGTTATTATTATTATTATTATTATTCTTTGGTTAGTATTAGTGTTGTATAATTTTTCCCATCTTTTAACTTTTTGTCTTTTAATTAGAAATTTGGGTTGTTTACATTTACTATAATCACTGCTCTTTTGGGGTAAATTTCTACCATTTTATTTCTTTTTTGCCTTAAAATTTTTTTTCTCATTTCATCATCCTGTCTCCCCCATTTGCATTCTCTCTCTCTGTCTCTCTTTTTCTCTATCATTTGGAAGTTTTATCTTCTGTATCTGTACTTTAAAGTCTAAAGATAATTTATTACTTTTATTCTTTAAAATATAAAGAACTTAGACTGCTTTAACTCTGATCACCTCCCTTCCAACTTCTGTTACTTGTTAGCAGGTATTTTGTGTCTCTTCTGCCCTTTTCCTTCTGTAAAATTATATGTATTTTTTGTTTAGATTTATCAGCAACCCTAGTTAACCACTTACGTCTCTGATCTTTCTGTCTGATGTGCATCCTATTGAAGTTCCTATTGAGGATCTTTTTGTGGTAAAGATACCTTTAAGATGTTATTCCAGGGTAGTGCCTGTGGCTCAAGGAGCAGGGCGTCAACCCCATATACCAGAGTTGGCGGGTTCAAACCCAGCCCTGGCCAAAAAAACTGCAAAATAAAAAGATGTTATTCCAGTGTCTTTTAGCCTCCACTCTTGCTATTGAGAAGTCAGACAGCATACTTTTATTACCTTTATTTTGAATGTCTTTTTCTTTGTTAAATGACAGATTTACTATGAAGTGACTACGTCTGTATTTCTTTGTATTTATCCTGCTTGAACGATTAGTTGGGTTTCTTGGATCTGAGGATTGGTATTTTCTTGTAATTCTGGAATTCTACAGTTCCCTGTCACTATCTCTTCAGATATTATCTCTTTCCGTTTCTCTGTTACCTCCTTCTGGAACTTCAGTTAGAAATGTCTTGAATCTTCTGTTGTTTTCCGTGTCTGCAGACCCCCAGATTGTCTATTTCTTTATCTTTCTTACCTACATTCTAGATTATTTCCTCAGGTCTACCTAGTTCACTGATTTCTCTTTAGTTACCTCTAATTTGCTGGTTGTTTTTGTGTGTTAGGTTTTAATTTCAGTGGTTGTATTTTTCATTTCTAGAAATTGTTTTCACATTGCTTGGTCATTCTCTTAGTCCTTATATTTACAATCTTCCCTTTTATCCCTTAAGGCATGTGACACATACCTATTTTATGTTTTGTAACTGAAAAGTCTGCTATATAAAATTGTTTTGGTTCTTACCACGTTATAATTTTCTTCCCCTTCCTTTCTGACCTTATTCGTTATACCAGATCTATGTTTTATAACTGTGAGTTGTTCATTTTTCATGCTGTTTTTGTATCTTGAAACTAATGTTTATCTGGATTGAAGATGCTTTTCTGCCTTTGGGGGCTTTGCTTTTGCTTCTGTAAGCTGCTAAGGACACAGCTTGGGACTATATTAAGTTCTCCGTTTTATATTCATATTGTGAATTCAGATTGTTTACATCTGTGAGAGTTGACTTGTCCGTAGGATTTTCAGGGCAGTACTGCCTCTTCCCCACTATTTCACATCAGAGTAGAGACAGGCCTGCCTCCTTGTTCCTTTCTGTGTATTACCTATTTCTAGTTCATAGTTACAGTAGCTTCTTATCTTGGTGTCTCCTGTTAGACTCCCCATTTTGAGCAGAATCTCATCTTATTCTCTGATCTTCCTTGCCCTTTGCAGCTGTGGAGACAGAAATAAGCTCAAAGAATACAAGCTTCAACAGAAATCATTAAGAGAAAAGTTATATTTTTGTAGAGGTCCGGGTTTCACTTTGTTTTTGCCCTCTGTGGATCATTTGTTGATCCTGATCACCTCCCTAGATTAGCAATGTGTTTAAAAAGATTTTGTTCAGGGTACATTGAAAGAAAGCATTAAAAGAAGTTTTTATTCATTAATTTACTCAAGAAGTATTTATTGAGCACTTCTTATATGGCAACAAATAAGAGTGACTCTTTGAGTTATATTCTTTTCTTTACTAATGCAAAAAATTAAGCAAACAAATACTGTCCTGGTACATTTAAGTCCGCCCTCCATATCTGTGGATTCTACCTCTGTGGATTCAACCAACCAAGGATCAAAACATATTTGGGGGATGGTTGTGTCTGTATTGAATAAGTACAAACTTTTTCTTGTTATTATTTCCTAAACAATATAGTATAAGAACTAATTATATGGCTTGGCGCCTGTGGCTCAAGTGGCTAAGGCGCCAGCCACATACACCTAAGGTGGCGGGTTCGAATCCAGCCCAGTCCCACC